GGGTGACTCAATCCCGAGTGACTCTTACCTGCTTTAGAAACCCGAACAATTTACTGCTTTCTTGTTGCTTTTACTTTTCACAACAATCATTCGAACTAGTTTGCTAGATAATAGAGAATCACGGAGTAAGCAGTAGATCTAGACCCCGGGTTGATAATTAAACTTGCCTATACTGCAGTCCCTTTCATTGGTTACACTTGGCCATTGTTAGGTGTTGTGTTTTAGCCTGTCAATATGACTGAGGCGTTGATGCCAGTGAGAAAGAGAGGAGTGAAGTGCACGAGGAGCCACGTGGGAGAGGATGAAGGGTGGTAACGAGTAGAGACCATCTTTACTCCGGCCGCGATGGAGGATTTTCTGAGAGCGTGTGTCCTTTATAGTGAAACAATCATCAAAAAATTGATAGAGAGAGGATTAGTACGAGTGAGGGAATTGATAGAGAGTAGGTTATGAGAAGCGGAAGGAACATGAAGAATATTATTAAGACGCAAGAGATGATGACGAAAAGAGGCAAGAGACAAACCAGAGTGAGAGATGGATAGGGAATTACCATTACCGAAGGCTACCTCGTCCGGGTCGGTATATTCAGAATGCAAGGCTAGGTTGTTGAGGTCGGATGTGATGTGGTAGTTTGTTCCGGAGTCCATGATCCAATATTGGGGGAGTGGAGGAAGAGCTGGCATAATTTGACGATGGGGAATAGCGGGTTGTGAGGGTGGGGTTGGGGCAGTGTTTGGAAAGGAGACCGAAGCCCTGGCATGTGGAGTAGCATAGTGGGCCGCCGATGGTGGCAGAAGAACGGTTAGTGGGTCGAGGCCCAAGAAGGCTTGCTCCAAAACCTGGACCTGCAAAAGTGTTAGAGAAATTTGTGGAGGAGGAGAAACGATCACCTCGGCCTCCTCGGCCGCCGCAGCTACGACCGAGAGAACGACCAGCGAATCGGCCACGTCTGCCGCCGCCGCGATCACCGAAGCGCCCGCAGTTGGCCTGGGGAGTGCTACCATCGTGAAGAAGGCCGAGTTGTCGGAGGCGGTGCTCTTCGTTGATGAGACGACCATGGAAATCATCAAATGGAATGGGCTCCGGCTTTGCTTCGAGAGTGTGGATGAAAGGAAGGAAGTCCTCACCGAGACCGCGAAGACAGCGGTCCACGAGTTCATCATCCGAGACCAGATGGTTGAGAGCAACAAGCTGATCGGCAACCTCCTAGGCTCGTGTGAGGAATTTGGCGCAGGAGTAACTGGCGCGAGATAGTTTGCCGAATTGGGTGCAAAGACTGCGAAGGGTCTAGCAATTGCCGGTGTCGTAAGCTAAATCCAAACCTGTCCAAGGGTTGATGGCAGTGGAGCAGCCAACCAAGCAAGAGAGAACAACATCAGTGAGGGAGCCCACAATCTAGGAGAAAACAAGCTGATCGTGGCGGCGCCAGGCATCATAGGCAGGATTGGGAAGGCCGTCGGGGAGAAGACGAGATGGGGCTGGAAAGGTGTCGTCAACAAACTTAGAGAGATCGAAGCTGGTGAGGTGGGGAAGAAGCTGCATTTTCCACAGAAGATAATTGGTGGCTGTGAGTTTGACAGAGATGTGAGGAGCAGGAGGAGGGTTGAATTGGGAGAGAGTGGGATCGGAATTGGGAAGGGAGCCTGTGGTTTCGGAGGAGGATGTAGCAGAGGTAGCCATGATGAGCAGGGAGAAAGAAGAAAGAATCAGAGAACCAAGAAGAAGGGGGGAAAGAAAATTATTTCGCTGTTAGGCAGGGAAGCTCTGATACCATGAAAGGTTCTGTGATTTCTATGTATTCAACTCAAGTGGAAGATACAGATTTATATAGATTGTACATGGCCATGCTAAGGCGTAGAGGAAGGAAGGAGAATCGGAAACAGAAAGTGGTGGAGCAAGATTACAAGAACAGAATAACAAATGTTGTTGGTAGTGCCTGAAGACTTGGGAATCCTTTATCACCCTTGACGACCGATCCACCATAATCACAACAATCAACACCCTTAGTTTATCAAAAAAATTACTAAACCTTTCATCCCCATTCAACAATTCATTGGAAGAAAAATCTGACTCAAATATTGAATTCAATCTCAGTTTACAGTGGTTGCCTCTACTCATCCTTGGCTGTGCATCACCACCAAAATCAGCACCCGGTGATACCAACAAATGGAATAAACACCAAAACTTCCCTACTATGCAATCAGGAACATGTTGAACTCCTTCCATTGAGTCCAAGTATGACATCAACAATTTACACCCTCGTCTTTTATTGTTGATATTGTGGTAGAATTCCTGTGCTGCACGGCTGCACCCGCATTATTACATTCTCTCACAGAAATGTAAACTTTAGTTCATAGAAAGAGTTGTAGATAGCACACAACAAAGGCATCTATAGTCATACACTCATGCACCGAAATGCATCCATGTCCAGATCACATTGTTAAATATTTAAAATATTACAGTCATCCACTAATGTTTGTTTGTTGGAAAATAAACAAGATAACTTGAAAGTAAAGGGAAGAGAAGGGATAGATAAAGCTCCTCAACCGGGGATGCATTACGCCATGCCTTCTAAACTAGGCTGGCAACACATTGTCCTGCTGCCACTGTTGCTGTCAATCCGCCATCTGTCAAATCTACTCCTACGCCAGCTGCTGCGCCTGCCCCGACTTCTGCAGCTCCTGTCGCACCTGTTGCTGCAACTCTTCCTGTGACTGCTGTAGCCCCCTGCTGCGCCTGCTGAAGCTCCTGGCTCGGCTTGGGGGCTCCTAGAGGGCCACGCTGGTTGTGAGAGGTGTCACGTTCACGTCGAACTGGCTCCCCACGGCATGAGTGGAAGTAGCGGTCTTTCGCCTCCTCTTCCAGCGGTCCATCAGGGACGATTTGGCATAAGAAAGCTCAGAAATAATGAAGGAAGGTCAGCAAAACTGTGCCGACGACGACAATCAATATATCATTGATGGTAAGTTTGGGCTTTGACCAAGCAGCATATGCAGCCGTGCTAGTTAGAAGAGAGGGTGGGATTAGTAAATGGCACTGTAAAAAAAACATACATATTTATAGAGAGAGAGAGAGAAAGAATTTACCTCATTAAAGAAGATGTTATGTCTAATACTACCAGGAACTGCATGTACCCGGACCGGACATACAGAACGAGTACAGCGAGTACAGGAGGATCTCTGCAGGTGTCAACTTCAAATGGTCCACCACCCACCCAATCAACCCGGAAATAATCAATCCGCCAATCTGAAGCGCAGTCGCCCCTTCCCAGTGGAGGGACTTGTCGAACATATGCTCCCCCCACCAGCGGCCACAGAATAATACATATAGAACACATATAAGGTTGTGGGTCAGCACACCGAACGACATGTATTTAACTTTCGGCATATGCTTTAGCACAGCAGAAACACCAATCCAAGCTCCACAAAGAGTTGCGAGAAAACCCCAAATAGAAAATTTCTTGGACACAAAGGATGAGGTTTTGTTGGTGATTTTATCAAGTAGAAAAAATGCAGAAGAAGAAGAAGAAGAAGAAACGCATAAGAAAATAAGTGGAAAAACCTAAAGAATAACTTTCTCAGACGATCACACCCATTCACCATCGGAGTAACATAACAGTTGACCATCGCTTTCGTTTCTCTCTCGGAACTGGCTGCAACTTTCTCCTTGGACAGAAAGTTGGATGTATATATAGAGCCGAAGATGAGGAAGAAGATATCATTGTTATGATTTGAATTGATTGAGAATCTCGTCTAATTCAGGCTACTCTGATCCTTTGGTGCTGAATCCAGAATGAGGAAAGGTCCCATTTTGGGAAACTGCTTACGCAAATGAACGCTTCAGAATGGGGAGGGGATGAAGTTGTGTAGACTTTCTTTTTCTTTGTTAGTGAAAGTAGGGAATCTGAATTGGCGAAAGGAGAAAAGTGGTTGTTATGAAAGGGGAAAGAAGACTTAAAGATGATTGATGAGTACCTTTATTCTCGAGACAAACAAATAAATAATAAAGAGACCTCTGGCCCTAGACCTAATTATTATTTATTATGAAGCGATTTCATACTCAAGGTATGCGGTACCCCAGATTTCACCCGGGATACCGTAGAACTCCCCATTATACGGTATCTCGGGTGAAATCTGGGGTACCGCATACCTTGAGTAAGAAAACGATATCCAGAACCTGAATTGACTGATCTTTCGGACATGATACTATAATCTAACCCATAAAGATCAAAATCTAGGTCTTAATTCTCTAAATCTTATACCCCAAGATCAATTTAATTAGAAACAATAATCGACGGTTATGATTCGTCCAAATATAGGCAAAAAAATCAATGCACCATCTTAGGGTTTATAGTTTAGATTTAGATAATTAGGACCTAGGGTTCACTCATTAAGGGTTAGGGTATAGTATCATGCCCAAAAATCATGCTAATTCGAGTTCTAGATAGCGTTTTCATACTCAAGGTATGCGGTACCCCGAATTTCACCCGGGGTACCATAGAAGGCACCACATATATATATATATATAGCGTTTTCATACTCAAGGTATGCGGTACCCCGGATTTCACCCGAGGTACCGTATATATATATATATATATATATATATATATATATGGCAAAGGCTAGCGTACGTCCGGGCGTACGCTAGCCTACCGTACGCCCCATTGAGTTTTGCTATTTAGACAAAGAATTAATCGGAGTTTGGGATATGATACTATACCCTAACCCCTAATGGGTGAATCCTAGTACCCAATTCACTAAATCAAAGCACGAGATTCGTTTAATCTTAAAAATGAAAATCAACGATTCTGATTCATCGAAATTTTCATTGATTTTCATTTTAAGATTAAACGAACCTCATGGTTTGGGTTAGAAAATTAGGGACTGGGGTTCACCCATTAGAGGTTAGGGTATAGTATCATGCCCCAAACTCCGATTAATTCATGATCTATATAGCAAAACTCAATGGGGCGTACGCTAGGTTAGCGTACGCCCGGCCAAATGACTACAGGATCATCGGTCTACTCTACCTCAATTCACCATTTCGAACTTTATACAGAAGGTTTTTCCGTACCAGCTTCTTCTACCTATACCGCAGTTGAAGCACCTAAAGGAGAATTTGGTGTCTTTCTGGTCAGTAATGGAAGCAATCGTCCCTACCGTCGTAAAATAAGAGCACCTGGCTCTGCCCATTCACAAGGACTCGATTCTATGTCCAAACATCACATGCCAGCAGATGTGGTTAGCGTACGCCCGGGCGTACGCTAGCCTGAACCATATATATATATATATATATATATATATATATATATATATATATATATATATATATATATATATATATATATGCGGAGAGAGCCTGCAATAAGGCAGTGAGTTGAGAGAGATTTAATGGATTGGGGAAGACTGGTCACTTTCACGTCCTTTTAGTTTTTCTTTTACCTTTTCCCCCTCTAATCACGTCCTTTCAATTGATCAGAGAAACCAATCCCAGCTCCACAAAGAGTCGCGAGAAAACCCCAAATAGCATATTTTATGGACACAAAGGATGAGATTTTGTTAGTGATTTTATCGAGTAGAAAAAATGTAGAAAAGAAGAAGAAAAAAAAACGCATAAGAAAAGAAGTGGACAAACCTGAAGAACTTTCTTAGATGATCACAACCATTCACCATCGGAGCAACAGAACAGTTGACCATCGCTTTCTTTTCTCTCTCGGAACCGGCTACAACTTTCTCCTTGGACAGAAAGTTGTATGTATATATAGAGCCGAAGATGAGGAAGAAGAGATCATTGTTATGATTTGAATTGATTGAGAATATCGTCTAATTCAGGCTACTCTGATCCTTTGGTGCTGAATCCAGAATGAGGAAATGTTATGTTTTGTGAAACTGATTCAGCAAATGAACGCTTCAGAATGAGGAGGAGAATAAGTTGTGGAGACTTTCTTTTTCTTTGTTAGTGAAAGTAGGGAACCTGAATTGGCGAAAGGAGAAAAGTGGTTGTTATGAAAGGGGAAAGAAGGCTTAAAGATAATTGTTGAGTATCTTCCTTCTCGAGACAGACAAATAAATAATAAAGAGACTTCTCGCCTTAGACCTAATTATTACTTATTCTAAAGCGGTGTCGTTATTATTATTATTATTTTTATATATACGGAGAGAGCCTCCAATAAGGCAGTCAGTTGAGAGAGGTTTGATGGGTTGGATAAGACTAGTCACTTTCACGTCATTTTAGTTTTTCTTTTATCTTTTTTCCCTCTAATCACGTCTTTTCAGTTGATCAGAGACACCGATCCCAGCTCCACAAAGAGTCGCGAGGAAACTCCAAATAGCATATGTCCTGGACACAAAGGATGAGGTTTTGTTAGTGATTTTATCGAGTAGAAAAAATGCAGAAGAAGAAGAAGAAGAAGAAGAAGAAGAAGAAGAAGAAGAAGAAGAAGAAGAAGAAGAAAAAAAGTGGACAAACCTGAAGAAGAACTTTCTCAGACGATTACAACCATTCACCATCGGAGCAACATAACAGTTGACCATCGCTTTCTTTTCTCTCGGAACTGGCTGCAACTTTCTCCTTGGACAAAAAGTTGGATGAATCTAGAATGAGGAAAGGTAATGTTTAGTGAAACTGCTTTAGCAAATGAACGCTTCAGAATGGGGAGGGGATGAATTTGTGGAGATTTTTTGTTTCTTTGTTAGTGAAAGTAGGGAACCTGAATTGGCGAAAGGAGGAAAGTGGTTGTTATGAAAGTGGAAAAAAGGCTTAAAGATGATTGATGAGTATCTTCATTCTCGAGATAGACAAATAAATAATAAAGAGACCTCTGTCTCTAGACCTAATTATTATTTATTATGAAGCAGTGTCATTATTATTATTATTTATATATAAGCGGAGAGAGCCTGCAATAAGACAGGTAGTTGAGAGAGGTTTGATGGGTTGGAGAAGACTGGTCACTTTCACGTCCTCTTAGTTTTTCTTTTATCTTTTTTCCCCTCTAATCACGTCCTTTCAGTTGATCAGAGACTATGGCTCCACGTTGCTTAGCTTTATATATATATATATTTTTTGTCGATTTTATTTCGACGTTGAAAGTTAGCATTACGACTTTGTCTAAAAATTAGCATTACGACTTTTCCGCACTGGATTTGAGAAAGGCGAGCTCCGCGTTTCTCGGAGTGTGACTGAAAGGCGAGCTCCGACTGCGGCTAGGGTTACGTAGCGATGTCGGTGGACGTTGTGCCGCCGGCCGGGGGGAAGACATCATCACCCCCACTGACTGAGGCGGTCTCCGGCCAGCGCAGGGTGCCCACTGAATCATCCTACCCGAGGAGAGCTGAAGACTCGTACACAAATCCAATTCCACTCAAAATAGCTCTGAGATCAAATCATTCAAGCACTTGATAAGGAGAGATCCATATTCGGAGAAGGGGGACTCCGAGAGCAGCGCCAAGTTGGCTGGCAACCATCGCGCGCAGGATTGGGTCTGTGTCAATACAGATGGCTCAGTCATTTTCTCTCCCGAGAGCACGAGCTGCGGCGACATCATGCGGGGGAGTGATGGCCGATTCATCAAAGCATTCACTGCGAACCTTGGAGGTGGTTCTATCACTCGTGCAGAGCTGGCTGGTATTGTGTATGGGTTGGATCTCGCCTGGGAACACGGAGTCAGGAAGGTGATTCTGCAGACTAACTCGTCCACTGCCAAAGCTTTGATTGATAATGCGACTCCGTGACACATCCATTACACTCAGGTTGCAGAGATCAAGCATAGACTAAATCGAGACTGGACTGCTAGGATTGATCATGTATTCCGCGAGGCAAACTTCGTCGCGGATCACTTACCTTCCTTGGGTCATTCCCGATCGATTGGGGTGCATGTTTTAGACAGGCCATACACTTATCTCTTGTATTGGCTGTACTTTGACAGTGTGGGGAGTGAAACTCCCAGGTTTGTTCGTGCTCAATAAAGGTTAGGGCGCCCTTAACACCCTGTTCTTACAAAAAAAAAGATATAATTGAATAAACAACTATGATTCACCTCTGGGCTCTTTTTATTATTATTCTCCAGAAACCTCAGCCTCACGTGCCAATTTGTGACAATGAGTCCTACTAAATATGGGGGTCACCTGTAATTAAATTCGACGCCAACGAAACTTCGTCCCCAACTGTCTTGTACCTCCGAGAACACCAACGGGTCTCGCTTGAATTCACTTTTGAGCTCTGGTGTTGAGCAAATTGGTGTTGGCAATTCGAAAAATGTGTGGACTGTGGACGAACGGTTTAGGGAAAAGATAAAATGAGGAGCTTTGCTGGGCCTGGGCCTTGGAGCGAAATTGATTGCTGGATTTACACTCTCACTCAGACCCAGAATCGTTTGAATTTGAAATAATGAACGCGCCCCGGGAGAGGGAATATCAAAATCACGTTCTCAATTCGGCACTTTCTCCTAGTCGTCAGATTATTGAGATTTTAATTAACAATTTATTTAATTGTTTATTGAAAGCTAATCAGTAATCTACTAATTTATTATTTATCACACAGACACCCACTGCAATTCCTTTTATACCCTGGACCTGCAGAAAGAAATATAAAAAGAAAACAAACACTGTTAGCGCGCCTTCTCCCTCTCCCTCCTATTTCTCTCTCTCTTTCCGTCTCGCTGCAAAATTCAAAATCCAAAATTCTGCTTGTCCAACAGATCTATCTCAGACTGCCTCCTTCCCTCTCCAAAACCCTACCCCGCCACCCAATCCCCTACTTCCCACTCATTTCTTCTTCCTCTCACCCTTTCTTGCTCCCCGCAAAAAATTTGCTTAGTGGGTTTTGTGGACAAGGTCGCGAATTTGAACCGGGAGTCTGCGGTTGTTGGAGTTTTTGGCGCAAAAGGGCTTTCAGCAAACATGGAAGATCAAGCCGATTCTGGGTTGCCTACTGGATCTGTTTCCATGGTACATCTCATTCTTCTCTCTTTCCGTCTTTCTATTTGGCGTTTTGATTTTCTTTCTTCCCTATCTGGGTATTTATGGGTTGGATTTCCTCAGATTGTCGGCGATAAACGAGGCTGTGACGACTTGGGGGAGGAGCAGGAAATTACGCACAAGCGGGTTAAAACGAGAAATCTCGACGCCGTGTTGAGGGTTCAAGGTTGGTTTGGTTGCTTCTTATCCCTCAGTTTTTTCATAGCTCAAAGTATGAACCTTTCTTTACTGCAATTTGCCTGTACTCATCGTGATAGCTTCACTTGAATTTGATAAATACAGCCAGTTGGGTAATTGGGTTTGCTTTTGCGATAGTTTACACTCCTAGACCCGCACAAACAATAAAAACATTATATAATGTCAAGAGAATTATGAATTTCTCGCTTGTTCACGGCTCTAAACTTAGAGAGCTGTTTAACTGAGTTACCCAAGTGTTTGGGGGGTTTTTTTAGATCAAGATTCTTGTCAAGTCCAAAGAAGTGGAACAACAACTTTGACACAGTCAGCTGAAGTCAATCTTGTTCATGGCCAACTGGATCTCAATAGTGAAGCTTGTACCGGTTATGATTCTACAAGAAGTGATACCCTACATAGTGCAGTTAACTGTGCTGAAGTCGCCAACAAATGTGCAACGTCTCTTGGCATTGGCTTGGATTTCAATGCAGGAAACACTGCTAGCTCAGGGAACCATTACCGGGTCTACCCGAACAAAGCTCCCAAAAGCTGGCAAAACTCAAGGGATGTATCTGAATGTGCAAGTACTACAGGTCCGGTGGTGGATAAAGATCCCTTGAAAGTTTGGAAGGAGATGAAGCAGAATGGGTTTCTCTCAGCTCCTCATGGTGGGATATCAAGTCAAAGCAATCTCCTTTCATCTTCTTCTCATGGACCACCGCATGGAGGGGTACCGGTGCCCAAGCAACGTGGGAGGAAACCCAAGAATAATGACATCACGAAGAAGAGAATGGAGATGGCAAAGAGAGAACAGGTGGATAGGTTCACAAAGATTGCAGCTCCAAGTGGACTGCTGAATGATCTCAACCCGGGGATTATCAACCATGTGAGGAATAGCAAGCAGGTACGCTCCATTATTGAGGCTTTAGTGAAGTCCGAGAAGCACAAGGATAATCGTGAAGAAAGAAGCAGAAGGGATAGCCATCTAAAAGCTGGAAGCAAAGGATTTGGTGGAAATGAAAGCTCGTCAACTGCTGTGTTTGAAAGTAAGCTTATCGGAGGGTTCACGATATCAAGTAGAGAGTGTGATTCCAGCGCTATTAGGGGAATGTGCGGAG